GTTTTAAATTTGAAAATTTAACTGTCTCGAGTGGATAAATATCGTATCACATTCGATGCAGTGGTAGAATCTATATTTAGCATGGAATCTACAGTTTGAGAACAAATAATAAAAGTAGAACTCTCTTTTAAAAAGGTTACACATGCAAGAAATATATATTTATTCAGTACACATGCAATAAACAGGAAAAAAAAATGAAGAAAAAAAAAACATTTGTAGAAAAAAAGGAAAGAAAATAATTATAGACACGAAGAAAAAAAAAGGAAGGAATTTTTTTTTTTAACTATCTGAAACCATGTAGACATACAAATTACAAGGATATAATACATTATTAACTCTTTTCCTATTTTCATCCAGGATTCTTTATGTATTCTTGTTCTCTGTAATTTACCCAATTACCGTCTAGAGTTATAGTCCTTGATTGATTGGAAACTCCAGGCTCTTTTTCTCGTTTAAGTGTAATAACTAATGAAGCATTCCACCAGTTTAAATTAATTTTTGGTATGTTGTTACTGATGCCCAAATGGAGGTCAAGTTAGATTTGACAATTTTCACTTGTATAAATCAGTATAAAAGCAGTAGTTTAAAAAATGTCTTGATTTACTAGAAATAACCCTTAATGTCGTTTATGTGCAATAAATTAAACACTGTCCAACCAATGCCTCTCAAATTTTGATATGTTGATAACAAAATGAAGGTCAATTTTGATACTGACTTTTTTTAAAACTTTTACTGTTCAAGACATAATCCTTGATAGATTGGAAAATAGGGACAGAAAGTGTCGCATCAAACTAGCCTGAAAGCGCCACACAATTAGTATTCATCTATTTTATTTGAACTGCCTGTCTTATTATTTAGTTCAACAATTGTTAGCATAAAAAAACCAGGTTCGCTGTCAATTTGACAGTTCATTTCTTGTTATTATTTATCTGGTTATGCCATGCCATGTGATACATTTACAGTCCTTTCAATGTTATTGAAGGGATGATATATAAATGAGCAATAGCTTGCACTGCATTTGTGTAGTTATTGTATTTATAGATAATCGATGGTTTTTCAAAAGAAAGGGTGTTTCTCAGCTACAATCCAATCAAAGAGCGACAGCCCTGAGATGAGATATGGCAGAGAAGCATCCTTGAGTTTGAAAGACCATTGATAATATGTTTATCGCTATTTTGCCTCTAACGTTGATGATGTTGACAATGACACGTGAGCCCTTAATTTTTCAGTGACAACATAATATAATTTTTCTATCTCAAGCAATTAAGTAGCATGATATGAAAAATTATGACAAAAAAAGATCATTAGGAAAAATACACAAAATAGCGATAATATACATGATATAGTTTGTGCAGTGTGTTCATCCTGACTTTTTCAATAATTATAGTTCATTTTGACTCATCCATTAAACTTTAACCTAAACTTCATGAAGATATGTATCTGTTTTTTATACGACCGCAAAAAAATTTTGTGGTCGTATATTGGTATGACGTTGGCGTCGTCGTCGTCGTCGTCGTCGTCCGCATTCGTCGTCCGAATACATATTGGTTTTCGCACTCTAACTTTAGTTTAAGTGAATGGATCTTTTTGAAATTTGACCATAAGGTTAAATACCACAAAAGGAAGGTTGGGATTGATTTTGGGGGTTATGGTACCAACAGTTAAGGAATTAGGGGCCAAAAAGGGGCCAAAAATGAGCATTTTCTAGTTTCCAGACAATAACTGTGGAACGGTGTATGGATCTCTCTGAAATTATACTACAAGTTTCCATACCACAAAGGGATGGTTAGGATTTGCTTTGGGGGGTTATGGCTCAAACCGTTTAGGAATTAGGGGCAAAAAAGGGGGAAAAACAAGGTTGTCCTGGTTAATGGACAAATACTTTAGTACAAAACATAATTTAAAGCAGTGTAAGGGAGATAAATCAAATACATTATTGAAATTATCTCCCTTACACTGCTTTTAAATTATGTATAAAGTAATGGTTAATGAACAATAAAGATAATCTAAAACAGTGTAAGGGAGGTAATCCAAATACAACGTTTTGGTTACTTCCCTTACACTGCTTTTAAATTATGTTTAAAGAAATGCATATTTATAAAGGAAGACCAGTAAAAATATCTGCAAATGTTTTCATCTTTTTTTTTTACAAAAAAATCCATATGAAAGATTTGACACTATATTTTTATTAATTCTATTATAAAATAGATTAAGTTAGCACTATGGTAAATTTAAATGGGTAATTATGGTTGCCAACTCCATTGGAAATTTGAATTGAGATTATGACCATATCTTGAGGGAAAGAATTTTTTTGGGGGAAAAAGGGGGGGGGGGATAAAAAGAAATTGTGGGGGGCCAAATTTTTCTCATTTCAGATTTCAGAAATTAAAAAGAATTATTCTTCAACTATTATTTTTTTTTCAAATTTCAAATATTGAAAAATTTCAAGAAGTAATCTTTAATTGCACAGTATGGTGCATTAGATTTGTAAAATCTTTGATCACATTTATTTATTTGTTATGCCGAATCTAACAGTGTATTTAGATTTTTAATTTTGGGTCCAGTTTTCAAATTGGTCTACATTAATGTCCAAAGGGTCCAAAATTAAACTTTGTTTGATTTTAGCAAAAATTGAATATATGAGGTTCTTTGATATGCTGAATCTAAACATGTATTTAGATTTTTGATTTTTGGCCCAGTTTTCAAGTTGGTCCAAATTGGGGTCCAAAATTAAACTTTGTTTGATTTCAACAAAAATTGAATATATGAGGTTCTTTGATATGCTGAATCTAACCATGTATTTAGATTTTTTATTTGTGGACCCCGTTATCTAATTGGTTCATATTGAGGTCAAAAGGGTCCAAAATTAAACTTTGTTTGATTTCATCTAAAATTGAATTCTTGGGGTTCTTTGATTTGCTGAATCTAAACATGTGTTTAGATTTTTGATTATGGGCCCAGTTTTCAAGTTGGTCCAAGATAGGGTCCAGTATTTAAACTTTGTTTGATTTCAACAAAAATTGAATATATGGGGTTCTTTGATATGCTGAATCTAAACATGTATTTAGATTTTTGATTATGGGCCCAGTTTTCAAGTTGGTCCAAATTGGGGTCCAAAATTAAACTTTGTTTGATTTCAACAAAAATTGAATATATGAGGTTCTTTGATATGCTGAATCTAACCATGTATTTAGATTTTTTATTTGTAGGCCCCGCTATCAAATTGGTTCATATTGAGGTCAAAAGGGTCCAAAATTAAACTTTGTTTGATTTCATTGAAAATTGAATTATTGGGGTTCTTTGATATGCCAAATCTAACCGTGTTTTTAGATTTTTAATTTGGGTCCCGTTTTTTAAATTGGTCTTCATTGAGGTCCAAAGGGTCCAAAATTAAACTTAGTTTGATTTTAACAAAAATTGAATTCTTGGGGTTCTTTGATATGCTGAATCTAAACATGTGTTTAGATTTTTGATTATGGGCCCAGTTTTCAAGTTGGTCCAAGTTGGGGTCCAAAATTAAACTTTTTTTGATTTCAACAAAAATTGAATATATGGGGTTCTTTGATATGCTGAATCTAACCATGTATTTAGATTTTTTATTTGTGGGCCCCGCTATCAAATTGGTTCATATTGAGGTCAAAAGGGTCCAAAATTAAACTGTGTTTGATTTCATCAAAAATTGAATTATTGGGGTTCTTTGATATTCCAAATCTAACCGTGTATTTAGATTTTTAATTTTAAGTCCCGTTTTTTAAATTGGTCTACATTAAGGTCCAAAGGGTCCAAAATTAAACTTAGTTTGATTTTAGCAAAAATTGAATTCTTGGGGTTCTTTGATATGCTGAATCTAAACATGTGTTTAGATTTTTGGTTATGGGCCCAGTTTTCAAGTTTGTCCAAGTTGGGGTCCAAAATTAAACTTTGTTTGATTTTAACAAAAATTGAATATATGGGGTTCTTTGATATGCTGAATCTAACCATGTATTTTGATTTTGGACATTGGACCATAATAGGTAAATTAAAAAAATTCAAGTTCTTAGACCACATTCTTTCTGTGTCAGAAACCTATGCTGTGTCAAATATTTAATAACAATCCAAATTCAGAGCTGTATCAAGCTTGAATGTTGTGTCCATACTTGCCCCAACTGTTCAGGGTTCGACCTCTGCGGTCGTATCAAGCTGCGCCCCAGCGAAGCATTTTATTGTATTTTGAACTACAGAGTTATAGGACTTTGTTTCCTAGAATTTTCTTTAGATAAAGACTACCTAGCTCTCTGAATTATATATGTGCATTTGATGTCAATATATAGCTCTCATATACTTTTACAGTTGTATATAGTAGTGGCTCATATTTAATGTTGGCCTGAAAACAAAACTTCACCTACACTAGCTACAAGTATTGGACAATGTTAATCCAGTCTGTTATATGAGTTTTTATACGCCCGTTTACGGGACGTATTATGGTATACCGTTGTCCGTCTGTCCGTCCGTCCGTCCGTCCCTCCGTCTGTCTGTCCGTCGTCAACATGTCGGACATTAACTCAAAAACGCTTTAACCAATTTGCATAAAACTTTGGTGAATTATTTATATCTATTGACATGAGCTCCCTTTCGTTTTTTATAAATTTTAGATTTTACGTTTCCGAGTTATGGGGTTTTATTAGAGCAAATCTTAACCCTTCGTGAATCTGATACTGTAAATACATAATTTGTTGCGTGCGTATATAATTGTGATTTTTGAAGAATGGACCAAAATGTGAAATTTATTATTGCCATTTCAGGAAAATCTGCATACATATATATGGATCAGATATCAAAATGTGAGTAAGTTCTATTATTGCGAATCTCACCCAGTAGCATTATTAGCATTGATAAAAACCTCGCAATAATTTCTGAATTTCCAGTATCAAAGCAGATTTTAAGAATGTGTAAAGGAGCCATACTGATAGATGTTTCCCTTTGAAAAAAAATTTAATGAAAGTTTTATTTTTTCATTTCAGATTCTATCAATATTTGCTTTTGCAACAACTGTTAGTTTGGATGAGAGAATTGGTTTTCATGCTGTCTGTAATAATGGAACACATAATACAACCACCGCAACTGAAAGAATTCAGGTTGCTTATCCATATGAGTAAGTTTTGAGAAAATTATAAGGTTGATTAAAAAGTATAAAGTGGATACTTAAGTATAAGTTATGAATCCAGATAGCTTAATTATCAAAAGAAAAAATACATGAATAAAATGAGATGTTTGGTACATGTCAATGAAACAGACGTAGAGACATAGGTATGCTGTTTGGTACATGTCAATGAAACAGACGTAGAGACATAGGTATGCTGTTTGGTACATGTCAATGAGACAGACGTAGAGACATAGGTAGCTGTTTGGTATATGTCAATGAGACAGGCATAGAGACATAGGTATGCTGTTTGGTATATGTCAATGAGACAGGCATAGAGACATAGGTATGCTGTTTGGTACATGTCAATGAGACAGACGTAGAGACATAGGTAGCTGTTTGGTATATGTCAATGAGACAGGCATAGAGACATAGGTATGCTGTTTGGTACATGTCAATGAGACAGACGTAGTTATGCTGTTTCAGGCATCAACTATGTATTAGTTTGTGATTAGGTCAATTTATGGGGATTCAATAGTGATAGGTCAGTGATACTTGGTATGCAGTCATATTTGCAATGGCACATCTCATTTCCATGTAGATTGTTTGGCCCTGTACCATAAGTCATGGTTCATTGACTTTGCATAACTAACAAGTTTTTATTATTGCGGTTGTATATTGGTATGACGTTTGCGTCATCGTCGTCAGAAGACACATTGATTTTCGCACAATAACTTAATTTTACCATAAGGTTCAATACAACAAAAGGAAGGAGATTATGACCATATCCTGAGGGAAAGAATTTTTATTTTTGGAAAAGGGAGGGGGTACAAAAGAAATTATGGGGGGGGGGGGGGCAATTTTTGTTTCATTTCAGATTTCAGAAATTAAAAAGAAAATTTCTTCAAATTTTTTTTTTTGGCCCAAAAAAGGGGTGGGGGTAAAAAAAAAATTTTTGTTTGGGGGGGGGGGTCAATACGCAACAGCATAGTGTATTTCACAAAAGCAAAAAATTGAATATAAATTCAAATCAATTATAACCAATTCTAAGTTCTTTGACTACAGTTATTCGGTGTCAGAAACCTATTATGTGTCAAATATTGAATTACAATCCAAATTCAGACCTGTATCAAGTGCGAATATTGTGTCCATTTTCACCCCAACTGTTCAGGGTTGGACCTCTGCAGTCGTATCCAGCTGTGTTCATCGAAGCATTTTATTAAGTATTGCTATTTTAATTTCAACATTTGCAATTTACTTTCAAAATAACAAAAATGCAAAACATATCTCTATGTTAACAGTTTGTTATAGATATTTATGGTGATTTTATACATGTCATAAAATTACAAACTAACTGAGGTCATTCTTTGTAATGTCATCAAACATGTTCCCCTCTGATAGGCTGTCACAGAGGCAAAATTAGAGAAAATAACTGAATTTGACAATTATTTACTCATTGTTAAAACGACAAAAAGAAAATTGTTTGTACAGTAAAAAGTATAACATGTTCAAGTCATTTAATGACTCATTTAAATTCTTTTCATTAAATTTCAGCTTGCACAATGAATATTTTATGTGGCCATTGTGCACTAGATCCTCAGGTGGCCCTGGCCAAATGGCATTGTTGGAAGGAGCAAAGTCATCAGCAGAATTCTATGTGTTTGTAGGAGTATTTGTGTTCCTATATTGTTTAGCAGCCTTAGTGTTATATCTGCTATTTGATGAACTCTATCGGTCTAACACCAATATAGTAACTGCAGTAAGTACAGTATTTGATGACCTTATGTTGACCACTAGCCACTGGTTCAAAAACTTATATTTTCTGGACATGTCCTGTAAATTTTATTCTTGTCTGTCTGATGTTTCAGCTGTAACGGACACCAACTGTATGTTTGCCAATTTGCTATACAAATGTATAATTAAGGAATAACTACTAGTTTTTAGGTGATCTTATTCACTAGATGTGTTCCCTGGCTCAGCAACTTTTCTGGTCATACAGTGACATGAGGAGTAATATCTCTAAAAACAAACTCTTAATTTAAAAGAGGCTGTCATTATGAGTGATTCTGAATCACTCTGAAATATCTCTCTTATTACTATACAACAGTGTCATCAATCACAGTTAGAGCTTCAATCAACGAAGACTTTCAAGATCACTGGTGGTAAGCGGATGGTCGTAACGTAAAGTTACGGTTAGCCAGAGATTGTCTCAAGAGATAAGTTTTTCTTTTCCGATTTTCGTGCAGTATAAGGTTCACTTCAGCCCAACCGCTTATCTCAAACACACTAGTACGTTGATATTGAGGTGAAATTTGATACATAAAACCATTCGAATTTTCGTAAAACAGTCATTCAAAAATTCCAACATGATGGTCGTAACTAAAACAACAAAAATGTTGAAGATGGGCGTCATGTAAATGTGTGCTGGTCGTAACTCTGTATTAAAAGTCAAAATAAGGTAAGTAAAGAGTTTTAAACGTGTCTTTTATGAATATAATATGATATTTTTATACATATGACGGATAATAAAGCAATTTCATTAACGGGGCAGGAGAGCGCAATAAATGACCGCATAAATCGTTTAATGGCAAATGAACGGGAATCAAGACTTGTAACGTAATTTTCACTGCGCCACCACTGTCACATTAATATTTTTATCGAATATATACGACAAAAGGGAAGCTAATTGAGACACGGACCAGGACACATTAGTAGTTGGTAGTTTTGGTAAAATACTGCAGGGTTATATCTGTATATTTAGGGTGATTTAAAGCACATGCACAGCTTTTATTTTAATTTTATGGAAATCTTAAAGCATGGTTCAAATATGCAAGAAAATGTAGTTAACTTAGATTTATGAGGGTGTGTATGGGATTTATAAAATAGAAAATGATGGGCCAAAAAAATAAAGAATAGAGGAAAATGGACAAAAAAATATAAGGAAAGGAGAAAAATGGGAAAAAAAAAAATAAAGAATACAGAAATAAAGGACCCCATCCATACCCTCATTTATTTCATTAGTTGTTATTGGCTTTAAACTAGCTGTCAGTAACTGTGAGTACTCTCAGATCCAGCTCTATCTGAGATCTGTACTTTAAAAAGACTACAAAATTATGCGACATTAGATGAATGCTGGATGATTATACAACAAGAAAGGGCATCATTAGTATGATTAGTTGAGTAAATTATCATCTCTGCGTTTTTTTTGTGTAATAAACCCGAATACATCAACACTGTGTATATTTGATTATTATTTAACTTAATGTCTGCATATCATAATCACAGTAACAAAAAAATGTTGTTTTCAGTAAACCATATATGGCGTCTGAGTTTATTAACATGGTTATGTGCACAGTAATTTTAAAATACTTTGATAAAATCGTCTCAATTAACTTAAGTTACAGTCATCTCTCAATAATTGAGGACCATCTCATGTCTGTTACGACCATCGTCAAAAATTTAATAGTTAATGTTACGACCATCACACATTTAAGTTACGACCATCATGTTCGAATTTTTGAACGACTATTTTATGAAAATTTCGAATAATTTTATGTATCAATTTTTACCTCAATATCAACGTACTAATGATAAGTGTGTTTGAGATAAGCGTTTTGTCTGAAGTAAACCTTGTACTGCACGAAAATCGAAAAAAGAAAAACTTATATCTAGAGTTGTCTCCCATCTTTAGCTAACTGTAACTTTACGTTACGACCATCCGCTTACCACCAGTGAAGATGGCTTTTTAACTGAATCTTTTTCATTTGTTGTCCAGAATAAACATGCAATAGTTGCCACTGAATGTAAAGCCCTTTTCATCATTTTGTGTGTACTGTATATTTTTAATCTACTATAAAAGCGGAAATTTTCATTGAGATTCAGAGTTCTTGAAAAGTGGAGGTCCAAAGGTTTTGACTACCAAAATTTTGCAAAGAATCGACACAATTTTGGTATTTTGCAACAGAAATAATAGTGAGGACCAGCAGATTTTCTTCAAGGACCACCAGGGGAAAAAGATTTCCTTTATTTTGTTGATAGATTATATTCACTAAATTAAAACCCTGAACTATATTTTAACCAACATTATGTCATAGATTTATACTTTCACAAACTGGAATTCACAAAAAAAAAAATCCAAATGAAATCAATTTCAGAGACAAAATCATGAAAATTAAACCCATAAACATGATAAAAATTATTGTTTCTGCAGTTATTAGGTCCGGGTACACAGTTATCGTCCTTTGATTTTCGTTGTCCACGAATATAGTCCCTAGTGTGGACAGTGTGTTACTTGTCGATTTTTTTTATACCCCTTCCAAATTTATTTCTCCATGTTTTATGACTCAAATAGTAAGTAGGGGGGTGAAATGACACTGTAAAAAAAATTGGGTCATGAATTTTAAAGTAAAGTAGTGATTTGGTCCAGCTGAAAAATGTAAAAAATTAGCACTTCGGAAGCTGTCAAAAGATTTGAAGACCCCCTTAACATGAAATTGTCCATATTTTGAGTTAGAGCCGATGAAGTTTTCTATAATTTTGATATAATTTGTCCCAAAAGTAGTACAACACACTGTAAAAATATTATTGAGAAAGCACAGGTGGGATTTTTTTAATTTTCATTTATTGTCTAAAAGAAATGCACTACGAAATAACTGTGTACTCGGACCTAAGAGGTGAAATCAGGAAATATAGAATCTGTACTTTGGCAACTTCCCTGAATGATTTGATGGTGTCAATTTATCAAATAGCATAAAACTAAAGGATTTAAACTTTTATTTGATAGAATTTCTTCAAAAATGACCAATTTTGGCATTTTATGGTCAAAATAAGCATTTCATAGCTTTTTCAATTTTGATGCATAAGTGGCATTCTGACTTTCTATCTGACAGGTTTTTATGTGTCAATATTTGTGTTTCTATGCTTCAATCCAGTTGTATTACTCATTTGTGAACTCTGAATCTACAGAAAAGAAGATTATCTCAGACAATATGTGCAAAATGTGTTGTATATATGATCCTCGTCTAAGGCCCTGTTTGGATCAAGTTAAATGTGAGGAGCTTGGAACATAGAAGTTGAAGTCCATTATAAAGACCTCACTAAATTTGTATAAAAAGCACTTAACAATGTCTTTTGTACCTGTTTTATGTCACATAATATCTTTCTTTTCTTCTGTAGGATAGCAAGTGGTTCAAATATAAGCCTGTTGAGACTAAAATTGCATGCATGTTTTTCACTAAAAAGTGAAAAATCTTTGTATCAGACCATACTGTCTGCAAAAAAAGTTGAATGCAAGAGTCTTTTTGTGCTCAGATTTATTGTATCATGTCACCTGAGTATAGAAATGATAGAAAAGACACAAAATTTTATTTCCTATAGCTTCAATATGCATTTTTAAATGTAAATATGTGATACAGCCTAAATTGACCCTAAATTATTTTCAGTCTTACTTGGCCTAAGACCCTTTTAAACTAATGTGATATGTTATTTGTAAGTTTTCTTTCCATTTAAAGTACATTAAATACATATGTAAGGATTATTTATAACCAAAAAGCTTTACAAATTTAAAATTGCTGGAAAATATTACATCTTCATGTAAGGCCCCCCTTCATTGGAAAACCTCCATTTTTAGCCACAGGCTCATATAAATTTGACTTTTTAATAATTATGATAAGTCTGATAAATCAAATGAGTACTCTATTGCTTTTAATACATAATATATTATATATCAAGGCATTTCAAAAGTATTTTTTTGCAATATTTTAATTTTTTAAGCCCCAAATGTTGATAGTTGAAAAATTTCAATTTTAACGTCTAAGTTTAACGCGCAAAGTTGTTTATAGAATTAGTCATATTGTCTATAATATATATCCTATTGCCATGAAACTTTGTAAGCAGTCTTATAATTTAAAAAGCTTTGGTCATACCAAGTTTCATTAAGATTGGTCAACTTTTTCCACCCTATTAGGTCCGGGTACACAGTTATCGTCCTTTGATTTTCGTTGTCCACGAATAGAGTCCCTAGTGTGGACAGTGTGTTACTTGTCGATTTTTTTTATACCCCTTCCAAATTTATTTCTCCATGTTTTATGACTCAAATAGTAAGTAGGGGGGTGAAATGACACTGTAAAAAAAATTGGGTCATGAATTTTAAAGTAAAGTAGTGATTTGGTCCAGCTGAAAAATGTTAAAAATTAGCACTTCGGAAGCTGTCAAAAGATTTGAAGACCCCTTAACATGAAATTGTCCATATTTTGAGTTAGAGCCGATGAAGTTTTCTATAATTTTGATATAATTTGTCCCAAAAGTAGTACAACACACTGTAAAAATATTATTGAGAAAGCGCAGGTGGGATTTTTTTAATTTTCATTTATTGTCTAAAAGAAATGCACTACGAAATAACTGTGTACTCGGACGAGTATCTGTTTTCTTAAAATTTTCAAAAAGGCAAAATATAACAATAATTTCTGGTTATTTTTTTACAGGACTTTATAATTTCTGTTGTCGTTACCCTGTTCTGGTTGATTGGATCTTCAGCCTGGGCACAAGGATTAGTGAATTTGAAGTACTATACTGACTTTGATAAATGTGGACAGTTTGATGAGATTGGAGCAGACTGTAAGGCTCCAAACCAGTGTGTGCAGACAATTTTTCCCAATTTTGCAAGCCTGAATGTTTCTGTGGTAAGTATTTTAATGCCCCCGCCGTAGCGGTGGTGGCATTAAGTTTTACCCTTGTCCGTCTGTACGTACGTACGTCCGTCCCAAAACTGGATTCCGTTCTCTAACTTGAGTTTGCCTCAACCAAATGATATGAAACTTATACACAATGCTTATTACCACAAAACATAGATCAAGTTAGAATTTTGGTGGCGTCACTTTAACCGTTCTAGAGTTATGCCCCTTTATAAATGGAAAAATTGCAAAATATTTAGTTTCCGTTCTCTAACTTAAGTTTGCCTTAACCAAATGTTATGAAACTTATACACAATGCTTATTACCACAAAACACAGATCAAGTTTGAATTTTGGTGGCATCACTTTTACTGTTCTAGAGTTATGCCTCTTTATAAATGGAAAAATTGCAAAATTTTTATTTTCTACTAAATATCAATTTATTTTTTAAATTGGAGTTATCTTCCTTTGTCCATGATTATAGTTGAATCAACTACAATCAATGTTTTATACAATGCAATGTTTAATTTTGACTTCCACTGATAAAACACAGATCAATTTTGGTAGTGTCACTTTAACCATTATTGAGTTATGCCCTTTTATAAATCGAAAGATTGCAAAATTTTTAGTTTCCATTCTGTAACTTAAGTTTGCCCCAACCAAACATTATGAAACCTATACACAATATTCATTACCACAAAACTAAGATCAAGTACAAATTTTTTGAGTTATGTCCCTTTTTAAGCATAAAAATTGCTAAATTTTAAGTTTCCGTTCTCTAACTTTAGTTTGCCTCAACCAAATGTTATGAAACTTATACACAATGCTTATTACTACATAATATAGATTAAGTATGAAATTTGGTTAGAACACTTTTACCATTCTTGAGTTATGTCCCTTTTTAAGCATAAAAATTGCTAAATTTTAAGTTTCCGTTCTCTAACTTTAGTTTGTCTCAACCAAATGTATAAAACTTATACACAACCGTTCTAGAGTTATGTGTTTTTACAAATAGAAAAATTGCTGAATTTTTAGTTTCCGTTCACTACTTAAGTTAGCCTCAACCAAATGTTATGAGACGTACACACAATGCTTATTACCACAAAACTCAGATCAAGTTCAAATTTGGGTAGCGTCATTTTTACCGTTCTTCAGTAATGTCCCTTTATAACTATATGCTATGCAAGCGGGGGCATCATCTGTGTCCACATGTGGACACTATCCACATTTATTTTCTTATATAATTACACCTTATGTAAGTTTCTTGAATTTTTAATTGGTTGATTGCTAGTGTATTTTTAATGTATTTTCTATTTTCAAATGAATGTAGTTCATATTTCATAACAGCTGGGAGATATTCTTAAGGATATCTGTTTTCAACCCTGGAGCTCTGCCATTAAGATGTTTCTTCTTGTGTGGCCTTTAATTGCTGTCCCTACAGCAGGTACTATTTGATCTGTTCGTAATTTCCATTCAAAACAATTATTTTTGCTATCATTATTAGGGCAGATTTTTGTCTGCTATTCTGATTGCCATTGCAATATAGGAAGGTCTGGATGAGGTTTACAGAATAGAGAATAATGGGCAAAAAGTGCAGAAAAAGGCTTAAAGTAAAGAATAGAGAAAAATAGGCCAAAATGATATTTTGATGGAGTGCTAAATATACAGAATAGAGAATAACATTTGGGCAAAATAAGTAAAGAATAGAGAAAGATGGTCTAAAAATAAAGAAATAAAGGACCCCCCATCCTGATCCTCATACAATGGATTTTGCAATTATGTATAGCAGATTTTGTTCCATGTTACTTATTGCATCTGTTGTACCGATAGCTGGTAATATGATGTGTGTACTAAAGAGGAGAAGGAAGAGTTTAGGAGAGCCGTGGTGTAGTGGTTAGCGCATCGGACTACAAACACAAAGGTTCCTGGTTCAACCCCTGTTCCAGGGAGAAAATTTCAGGAACTGAATTTTCAGCTCTCCCTTGACACCATTTGCAAGTATGGTCTTGAGAAATGATGATATTCAGTCGGAAGGAGACAATAAATGGCTGACCTGTGTTAAGAGAGAGCAATATCTCTTTCATGTAAATTTAGACACACTTGTAGATTTCGAAAAAGAGCAGGCTAATGCTGCTACAAGCTAAGACAGCACTCGCACCAGCAAAATGGAAAGGGATGAATATAAGTTGTAATAACTTGTTTCCCAATCCACTATGAATAAATATGTTTAAACTAAAAGAGGGTCTGAATGGGGTTTACAGAATAGTGAATACCATGAATAAGGGGCAAAAAGTGCAGAATAAAGAATAGTGATAAATAGGCAAATGTAATACAAAATAGAGAATAATGGGCAATATATGTAAAGAGCAGAGAAAAATGGTCTAAAAAATTCAAGAATAAAATATAAGTGAAGGACCCCCCATCAAGAACCTCATTAAATGTTGCTGTTTTTATACGACCGCAAAAAAATTTTTGTGGTCGTATATTGGTATGACGTTGGCGTCCTCGTCGTCGTCTGAAGACACATTAGTTTTCGCACTCTAACTTTAGTTTAAGTGAATGGATCTCAATGAAATTTTACCATCAGGTTCAATACCACAATAGGAAGGTGGGGATTGATTTTGGGGGTTATGGTACCCACAGTTAAGGAATTAGGGGCCAAAAATAAGCATTTTTGTAACTTCCAGACATAACTTGTGTGTAAGTGTATGGATCTCTCTGACATTGTACCACAAGGTTCCATATCACAAAGGGAATGCTGGGATTGATTTTGGGGGTAATTGTCTCCAAATTTTAGGAATTAGGGGCAAAAAAGGGGCAAAAAACAAGCATTTTTCTAGTTTCATGACAATAACTTGTGTGTAAGTGTATGGATCTCTCTGACATTGTATCATAAGGTTCCATATCACAAAGGGAATGCTGGGATTGATTTTGGGGGTAATAGCCTCCAAATTTTAGGAATTAGGGGCCAAAAAGGGGCAAAAAACAAGCTTTTTTCTAGTTTCATGACAATAACTTGTGTGTAAGTGTATGGATCTTTATGAAATTGTACTACAAGGTTCCATATGCCAAAGGGAAAGCTGGAATTGAGTTTGGGGGTAAATGCCCAAAAAGTTTAGGAATAAAGGGCCAAAAAGGGGCCAAAAATAAGCATTTTTCTAGTTTCCAGACAATAACTTGTGTTCAAATGGATGATCTCTCTGAAATTGTACTGCAAGGTACCATACCACAAAAGGAAGGCTGGGATTGATTTTGGGGGTAATTCCCTAAAAATTTTAGGAATTAGGGGCCATAAAAGGGCAAAAAAACAAGCATTTTTCTAGTTTCAGGACAATAACTTGTGTGTAAGTGTATGGATCTTTATGAAATTGTACTGCAAGGTTCCATATCACAAAGGGAAAGCTGGGTTTGAGTTTGGGGTTAATTGCCCTAAACGTTTAGGAATTTGGGGCCAAAAAGGGGCAAAAAAAACAAGCATTTTTCTAGTTTCCCGACAATAACTTGTGTTCAAGTGTATGAATCTCTCTGAAATTGTACTGCAAGGTACCATACCACAAAGGGAAAGCTGGGATTGAGTTTGGGGGTGATGAATCATAAGGGGGTTCAAAAAATTGGGGGGGATTTTTTTTCCCTTTTTTTCTTTAAAATTTTCCATTTTAAATTGGTTATTTCTGATTTATATATAAAAGCAAATAATAATGATATGGTTTGAATAGGTAAATTAAAATTTTTTAAGTTCTTAAACCACTTTCATTCTGTGTCAGAAACCTATGCTGTGTCAAATATTTAATTACAATCCAAATTCAGTGCTGTATCAAGCTTGAATGTTGTGTCCATACTTGCCCCAGCTGTTCAGGGTTCGACCTCTGCGGTCGTATCAAGCTGCGCCCCAGCAGAGCATTTTATTGCTTAGGTCTTGATAGCAAAAGAATAATGGAATTATCCAAATGTTTTACTAAGCCATCTCTATTGATTTTTGGTGTAATTAAACAGATATATATCATTTTCAGGAGGGTTATATGAGAAAAATGCAAGTCTTCTGAAGAAATTTAATTAAATTCCTGTTTACAACACATTCTGGCAAAATAAAAAAAATATGACATTGTGTGTTTAAGGCTTCCTGACAGACTAGTGTAAAGCTTAGACCTTATCGTTGTTTGAATGTTTCTACTTTTCACCAACATTTCTGTTGTTGTAAATTCTATCAAAAGACGTGACAAAGTTGATCAAAGCCATGTTAATTATAGACATACCAGTATTACAAATGACACACTTCTCATGCATAGTATGTATAATGCATGAGCTGAAACCAGTAAAGACAATATATAGCTAGCAACTCTTAAAAAAAGAAAGAACAACAAAAAAAAAAGAACAAAACAAAGAAAAGAAAAACTAAAAAGAAAAATATTTGGCTCAATACACAATCTTCCAATTAGTGCATTTTTTCCAATTAATGTGTTTTCCTGGAATGAAATTAAGGCAATAAAGCAAATATCTAGATTGTATAATGATATCATGTCGTCGTTTGCGTCATCGTTGGTGTCGTCGTCATCCGAAGACATTTGGTTTCCGGACAATAACTAAAGTTTCATTGTATGGATCTCTTTGAAATTTGAGCAAAAGGTTCAATACCACAAAAGGAAGGTTGGGATTGTTTTTGGGTGTGATGGTCCCAACTGTTTAGGAATTAGGGGCCAAGAAGGAGCCCAAAACAAGCATTTTTCTAGTTGCAGGACAATAACTTGTGTATAAGTATTTTGTTTGCTCTGAAATTGTATCACAAGGTTCAATACCACAAGTCAAGGTTGGGATTCATTTTGGGGGTAATTGCCCAAACCATTCAGGAATTAGGGGCCTAAAAGGGTCTAAAACAAGCATTTTTCTAGTTTTCAGACAATAACTTGTGTTTAAGTGTATTGACGTCTCTTAAACTGCACCACATTTTACAAAAAGAAATTTTCCTTTTAATGTTTAAATCAGTGTTTACATTAATATTGAACCGACTGAAAATATATTATTGGTATTGAATAAATACAACATCACATGCAGTTTTGTTAGTAGAAACATGTATTTTTTTCTACTTAGTAAATAATTTTTTACTCAGGTAAATTAATCAATGAGTGATGGATTTCTCCCCACACGTGAGGGCCTGAATTCTTTATACTATAAAAACGTGTCATGAATCCAGGATTTTGATTGAAATTATTCGGGTTAAAGATCATAGTGAATAAACTACACATAGAACAATAGCTATTGTATTTATTCAATGGGACAATAGAACTGACAAAAGTTTAAATACCTTGACCAAGAGGAGATGATTCTGGGAAAGAGCTTCATTTGGTTCGCAATAACTTAGAAACTGGTAGAATTCTGACAGGTTTAACTGTTTTCTAGCTTACGCTTCATTAATTTTAAATTTGACTAGGGAAAATATCAGTTAACTTAATAACTTGTACAGTTAAAGGATATACTGTGTTTATGTTGGTTATAGCATAAATAATTCAAATATAAGATGGTTTAAAAACATTTATAGTAATTATAGTAATTTTGTCTTATCTTTCAGATTTTTGGGTTTCTGAATATGCTGGTGTGGGCAGGCAACTTATGGTTCCTTTACAAGGAGACCCCATGGTTCAAGGTCAGATCAAAACCTCCTCAGGAACCTTCCACAGATCCTCAGAGAATATAGATTGTCTGTGTATAACAGCAGACATCTACTCCTTCTAAAATGTAGAATGGTGAATTTGTTTTTTAAAAAAGTTTTACAAGTTTGGAAATGGTTGAAAGCTACTCTTATAGTCCCGATAGTAGTATAATTAGTTTGGATATTTATCTGTATAATCTATGTTAATGTACTGATTGAAGTTCTACTGTAGATTGCTTTCAGAAGCTTTTGGTGGAAAGAAAATTCATACCAAAGTTTCCAATAAGAGTTTTCAAAAATGACTGACATTTTCGTACCATAGCATCAAAAACAACTAAATACAAAATAGATGAACATTTGAATTGTTAAATGGCTTCTGGAAATCTTTTTGAGGACACTGAACATGATTTTAAATATAGATGTCTGTTTGGTGAAAAACTTCTTTACCAAACAGAATGTCACAGTAAATATTGCCACTTCTCCTCACAGATATTCATTTTACTTTCAATTTGTCAAATGTCATTTTTTGACCTCTACTTGTTCAATATTTATCTGTAAAAACATTTCAATAATGCTGGATGTATTTGCAGTTTTGACTATTTTTGTGCTGAAAAAAAAGGTATACTAATTTTGCTTTTAATCTTTTACTAAGGCTAGTGTTGATATATTCATGGTAAATGTGCACTGACATGCCTCCAGAAACCTCATCTGATTCATACATTTGTAATTGAGATAAATCATGCCATGGTTAAATATAAATATAGATGATTAATTACTGACATGAAACCTAAATTATCAATTTAACTTAAGTTATCAATTTCACATGTTATCACCTATATCAACAACCAGTTTTGGTTAGTGGTTCAGTTTCATTTCAGTATTGTTGCCTAAATATTACAGAATTTACATTCCTTTTACATAATTGTTCGGGATTTCAATATGCCTCACTCTTAAAAGCACACACCACCACCCAATAAATGTAAATGGATAGATAATTGTATTGGACAGTTACATGCCCAGGCTTATTATGGACTTTTAAGCATTACATAGATCATTCTCACAAGCTCAGGGTTTATTTATTCTTTTGTTTCAAGCCCTATCCCTCTTGCCTCATTGGAACAAAATAGTGTGTTCCTAATTATGTTACTATTCAAAATTTTAGATGATATATTCACCAATACAAGAAATGGTTCCAATTTTCTGGGGGGTGGCAGAGTAAGATATGTTATTGACTTCAACCTTGGGGTTCCACAGTAGTATGTACAGGGGCGGATCCAGTCATTTATAAAAGGGGGGGTTCCAACTATATGTCCCCATTCAGATGCATTGATCATCAAAAAAAGGGGGGGTTCCAACCACCGGACACCCCCCCTGGATCCGCCACTGATGTAGATCAGGACAATGTTTTAACATGTACTTATATTCATAACATAGCCATATCTTAGAATAGCAAAGTTTAAATGTATTCCTGTATAAGCAAGGTCATTATTTATTATGTATCATGTGAAAAAGGTTGAATGATGATATATTTATTCATATTTATTTTGAATGAACAAATTTTGTGAATCAAAAGGCTTGATTGTTCTTCTGTATTGGACTGTAATGAACAGTCTCATTTACTTTATAACTGTTCCTGTGTACTGAGTTTGGGCTATTCCATTAAAATGTATGTGGGAGGGTAGGAAGGGACTTTCAAAATATCCCTACAACCACGAACCATTTTTTAGATAATTTTGCATAATGGTAATAGACACATACTAAAAAAAAAAAGACTCATGACCCACATTCAATAATTAAACTTCCATTCCTACCCTCCCACATACATTTTAATGGAATAGCCCTTAGATAATGTAAATAAAATATTTGATTTGTGATTTATGTATTTGGTATGCACTGCATGGGAATAACTGTCCCAAATTTTTTGAATATTCAAAAATGAAAATTTGAAATACCAGTTTTCACCTTTTGAAACATTTTCTGAAATAAAAATACAGGCAATCAAGACTTTTTCAGATTTTCAAAAATAATCTGATTCTTTAATGGGAAACTAATATTGAACTTTGTGGAGAAAGTAATTGATTAAAATATAGTAACTCAAATTTGAGCAATTGACTTTAGTCAAGAAATTAAAGGTACACTTGTACTATTTTTCTGGGGACTGCTAATGAAATAAAAACTTTGTTGCCATCATAAATAATACAAAATTTTCTTTTTAACAAGAACATAAAATATTAAAATATTTGAACATCTTGAATAATTTTCTAGGTAATAAACCTTTGTTATATTTTGACTATTGGTTGATTTGTTTACTGTAACAACAAGAGTAAAATTGTTCATTAAATATTAGATGTTGAAAAGCAAAATTTACCTATAGCTAGACATGAAATATTTATTGTAAATTATTTAGAGCAGTATTTGTTGACATGTTAGTTTCAAAAATTTGTTTTATGGCTGAATGTAAACATTTCCATTTCATGAAATTGTTTACTGTAACAACAAGAGTAAAATTGTTCATTAAATATTAGATGTTGAAAAGCAAAATTTACCTATAGCTAGACATGAAATATTTATTGTAAATTATTTAGAGCAGTATTTGTTGACATGTTAGTTTCAAAAATTTGTTTTATGGCTGAATGTAAACATTTCCATTTCATGAAATTTTTTACCTCATGTATGTCTTATAAGCTTTGAATATGCCGATCATTTTATACAACAAAGGAGTAAGCATGTTAATAATGTGTAGGATTCTGCATATTTGTTGATTAGCTTATATAGTTCTTTCAAAAATTTGAAAATTTTATATTCATCCTAATATATTACGAGTACTGGAGTGTTTTTTTCAAGGATGGGTTGGGGTGGGGTTTGACAAGACAATGACAGAAGCTATTGTTTTATGCAATCCTACATGAAAGATAAATTTTGTTTCTTTAAGACACAGTTGGTTGAATTAAGGATATACTTAGGTCAGGTTTAGGAATTTTTGTCAGATGTTCGGACTCCTTGGTTTTTTTCCTACTATACAGGGTAAAACATTTTGCCCCATAACACCCATTTTTCTTTTCATATAAGACTTTAATAGCTCATAAAAGGTCATTTACCAAAATTTAAGCAGATTCTAGATTTCTTTTCTTTCGATTTGATACCCAAATAATACTAATGCAAATATAAGGTAAAATTCAGAGTCAGCCTTTTCCAGCCATTTTTAAAAAAATAAATATCTGGAAAAGGAGCTCCATAACCTATCAATATTTTAAGCTTATTTTGTTCCTTAACTTATGCTCTTCTGACTTATACTATCAATTTTAAATTCTAGATTTTTTTAATTTCACATAAGTACACCCTTACAACATGAAATAAAAGCAATACAAAATTTGAATTAAAACCATCACCTACGGCTACCAACTAGCACTCGGTAGAACTTATTCATTCAGCCATCAAAACATATGCAATTAAAGCAATTAAGAGGTTGGCAAATGGTAAAGATACATGTACATGTCTATTTTTGAAGGTTGTTTGTTGACCTCTATATGTGTTTGTTTGTTTTATTGTTTGTGTGTTGGGGTTGCTGTCTAATGGACATATACTTACATCTATAATAAGACAAATAATTGTATTAGAATAGATATAAAAACATAGTTTATTAATTTAATTGAAAATCTTTGAAATCAATTACCTGAAAGCAATTACAGTGGAACTGAAGCATACTTATAATTCACAATTAATGATTGCAGGGACTTTTATCTTAAGTTCACAGTTGTTACTGGGATTAGTAAGGTAAAATAAGATTACGATGAAATTTTCGCATTTCAATGTCACTAAAGAGCATCTTACTTTAAAATCTTGATAAATTCAAAATCCTTACAGTTGCACCTTAAAAATTGCATTTTCACTGACAAAACTTTAAAAAAAAACTAGGCCCCACCAGAAATTCAACTTCTGTACTAAAAGAATGTCTACATAAATATTGTCTTGAGCAATCAAAACTTCCAAACCAATGGTGTTTACATAGTGCAGCACCATTTCTGAATTACTTTATTTTGGAACTAAAAGAAAAAACCATGTGCTCCTAGAATGATATTAGAACTGTATGTAATTATCTTAACCATGTTTTATGGTGGGTGTAAACTTCATCTTCCATGGAGTACTTCGAAGATTCCATCTGACAATTGAATACTACCATATTATGAAATATTTGCCACTGGAGGTTAAGTTAACAATTAATAAATCATCAGAACTTTATGCATGAAATGAAGTGGTCATTTAAATTGCTGACCTTTGACCTTTAAGTCTGGTTAGTTTAAAGTTCCCTTGTAGTTTAGAGGGAATTTATTGATAAGAAAGTTTCTAGTTACTTAGTAATGTTAGTGAAAAAAAAATCAAGAAGAGATGATTTAGCTTTTGTATTTATTTGTTATTGATGTTGATATTTTTTTTTTGTGCCTTATACACATTAAGCATATGAGTTATGAGTGCAATGTATATTTCTATGTCATAATTTGTATGTTCTTCAAGAAATCCACACAACAGAGAGAAAGAAACATAAATTTGGTTTAAATGATTGAAGTACTTCATGAAAAGTACTTTTTGGAAGTAGAAAATTTATTCTGAACATCAAACTTTTTTTTAGACTTATACAATATTTATCTTTATAAAAGCCCTGGAAGGGCATTGCATTATTTTGAAAGAAGTGCTTTTAATATAGATCTGAAAAATGGATTAAATAGGTAGTATTATCAAATATTCTTTCTATATTTATAAGCTATACAGAATTCCTACAAAATGAATATTTCATAAAATGAAAAATGAACATGAAGGCAGAAATGTTGATGGGGTCAAAACTAGCAGGTGTATTTAATGTAGGAGCTAATTTAAGGATAGTTATTGTTGATGTAAATATTTGGTGTACACATTTTGCAACAAAATAAAAATGTACAGTATGATTGTATTGCTTGTCATCACATTCCGAAAAAAAATATTATTTTTAATGTATCAAGTATTTTTTAGCAGTTCTTTGTTGCATGACCTCTAAAAATAGTTGACGTAATCAGCAATTATAATTCTGCAGTTTTTATAGCAGTTTTGATGTTTAAAGTGAAACTATCTCAACACCATAGTAATTTAAAAAATTGTTTAGTGTTGACTTATTGCTATTTATTTAGATCTGTTGTTTATTTTTGAAAAGCATAATATACTCTACAGTACTAAATTTTGGTGTTGGAGGAAAAATAATTTGGATGAATTGTAATTCATATTTTGTAAATATGGGAAACTCATATTGCACTTAAATAGTTAAATCTGTGGTTGCATGTCTATTTATAGTTCTAGGTTAA